CCCGGAAAATTTTGAAAAATGAACCTTCTAAAATGGCATTTCGTGCATTTTTTTAGAGGATTTCAAATAAGAAAAAATCAGAGATAAATTTTAATCAATGACAAAGGGAGCAGTTTTTCTACGATTCCAGTCCATCTTTTCAAAAAAAATCTTGGACCTTTACATAAAATGTGGACCAAAAAGTGGACCTTTACATAAAATGTGGACCAAAAAGTGGACCTTTACATAAAAAGTGGACCAAAAAGTGGACCTTTGAGCCTTGTGGGGGGGTTCTTCCGAACCCCCCGAACCCCCCCTGGCTACGGGCATGATGACAAACCATGGTTCTTTTCTACAGAGATTACATGTATGTATTCATGTGTCCCCAGTATTTGCGTGCCTGGGTTTCCTGTCTCCGGCTAACCGTGGTGCCCTGATGACCTGTGTCATCATCCTGTACGTGTGCCTTGGGACCCCTGCTGGCTACGTCTCAGCCAGGATGTACAAAAGTGAGTACTGTAAAGCATGATTTTTTGCAGTACTTTTTATATTCGTGATCACTACTGTACCGCAAACCTACCATTAACATGAACAAATAATTCTCTGAGTTTCTTTTTTTCTGCACCTGCTGCCACCATGGACATATAGTTCTGCAAACATGTCCATTTTTCTCAGACCGCAAACGTTTGCTATTGCGAACATAAACTGATTTACAGTATTGGCAGAGACCATACAAGCATAGCTCACAGTGAGTGAATTTAAAAGAACACTTCAGGACGATTCCACTTCACAAGATTTATCAGATACCTTGTAAAACTTATTCATATCACCTATTTCCCCTTCCATACCTACATGTATACATGACAATCATAAAAAACATTAAAATACCTGAAAGATAACTGTCTAACTTTTTACCAAATGTACCACCAAAATACACATTTCTGTTTCCCCCCCAGCGTTTGGAGGTGAGCGCTGGAAGACGAATGTCCTGATGACGTCGTTCCTGATCCAGGGGGTGGTGTTTGGTGTGTTCTTCATGATGAACCTGGTCCTGTGGGTGGAGGGCAGCTCCGCAGCCATCCCCTTCAGCACACTGGTGGCCCTGCTGGCTCTCTGGTTCTGTGTGTCCGTGCCTCTCACCTTCATCGGAGCCTACTTCGGCTTCAAGAAGAGGGTAGGTGTCATGCATATTATAATGGCGACTAGGCCTAGGAAAAAAAAAGTTGTGTTTCCTGTTTCTCGACTGACCCTAGAAAAAAACTGCCGACCCTAGGCTTTTTTTGTGTGTGAAAGGGACAAACTTTTTGGAGCTGACTGACCTTTTCTGATTTATTTTATTTACGCTCGAAATTGCTCTATAAAATCGCTCAATGATACAAAAAAATATATAAATAATAGATAAATAAATCTGTGTCAGTGTTTACTTGAAAAGAAACTTAAAATTTATTCATGCTACTGTGTCAGAGGCCTGTGCTGTTTTGAGTGCAATCTTTGCATCATTGTTAGCTGTGCACTATGTTAACTACCAACACAGATGAACTTCAATGATGATATTTCTGTTGTTATGACCAGCCCATTGAACATCCGGTGAGGACCAATCAGATTCCTCGTCAGATCCCCGAGCAGTCCTTCTACACGAAGCCCCTGCCTGGCATCGTCATGGGCGGAGTCCTGCCCTTCGGCTGTATCTTCATCCAGCTCTTCTTCATTCTCAATAGTATATGGTGAGTCTAGAACATCCCAGGTTTCAATTTGTTTTGTTGTTGTCATTGTCCTTGGTTTAGGTCTATTTTTTCTGCTAGATAAGGTCTCTTGGTGTCTTTTGCAGCATGGTGCCTTGTTTGTTGTGCTCCCTCTGGTGCTTATTCTTTGTTTATGTATATATGATAGCATTTTGTGTTGCCAATGTCCCAAGAACACATTTGCCACTAAAGACAATAAAGGAAGTTAACAGCTTGTGGTGCAATTTTGCAAGGGCACAAGATCGGTGGTATGTCAGGACTCAAACCCGAGACCTCTTGGTTCCCAGTCGAGCACCCTGCCGTTACACCACACCACACCACACAACTCCACATGAATAGTATGTGATGCCTGTAGATGTGTTACTCCTCCCTCAGGTCTCACCAGATCTACTACATGTTTGGTTGTTTCTGTATGAACAGTATGTGATGTCTGTGTTCCTGTATCCCTCAGGTCTCACCAGATCCACTACATGTTTGGTTGTTTCTGTATGAACAGTATGTGATACCTGTGTTACTGTATCCCCAGGTCTCACCAGATCTACTACATGTTTGGTTGTTTCTGTATGAACAGTATGTGATGCCTGTGTTCCTGTATCCCTCAGGTCTCACCAGATCTACTACATGTTTGGTTGTTTCTGTATGAACAGTATGTGATGTCTGTGTTCCTGTATCCCCAGGTCTCACCAGATCTACTACATGTTTGGTTTCCTGTTCCTGGTGGTGCTGATCCTGGTCATCACCTGCAGCGAGGCCACCATCCTGCTCTGCTACTTCCATCTCTGTGCTGAGGTAACTACAAAATATCACCATTTATTTAGATTAAACAGAGCCTACATGTATATGGTAAATCCCAGCTTGAAGATGACAATTTTGACAATCTAGAACAAAATACTCTGTAAATCCTCATATAAAGAGGACCATATACCACTAAACCACAGTTGGCAACATGTCCATCCCAGCATATGTGCCTAAGCCAAGAGGTTGCTGCCCTCTGTAAGATTCCTTCATGTTGCAAGGTCCAAAGCTCTGAACCATGTTACAGTACCTTTAAGTTTAAACATATACATTGTATACAGTACATACTATATTGTGTTTTTACAAATTTATTCAAGACTTTTTAGTACAGGAACAGCTTTGAACTGACCTGATTTTCTATATCTTTTACCTGGACTGATATGTTTGATATACTTACACCTAGTTGTCACATTAATGAATTGATTGATTGATTGATTGATTGATTGATTGATTGATTGATTGATTGGTTGGTTGGTTGGTTGGTGGATTGATTGATTGATTGATTGATTGATTGGTATTCCCCAGGATTACCACTGGTGGTGGCGCTCGTTCCTGACCAGTGGTTTCACAGCCTTCTACTTCTTCATCTACTCGGTGCACTACTTTGTGTCCAAGCTGGCCATCGAGGGCATGGCCTCCACCTTCCTGTACTTCGGCTACACCTTCATCATGGTGCTGCTCTTCTTCCTCTTCACTGGTAAGTTTTGATTTCATTACTTCTTAGTCATGATCAGTTAGTGATTCACCAAAAAACAGTTACTCAAGCAACTGGATATGATCTTGGAAACGTTCAGACGTTGAAACAACAGGAGCTTCTTGACTTATTTGCATCATCCTTGTCTTGTCTACATTTTGCTTCCTTTTGGACTTCCAAAAAATTTGTCTTCACTTGTTTGCATATCAATCAATAGTTCTTGCTTATAAACCTGCCGTCTCCTGCAGTCTCTTAGTGTCACTGATGAAAGGCAGTGGATGTTACCTGAAATGTTTGACCTTTTCAAAATCATATCCAGTTGCATGAGTAACTTTTTTGTGTGTATCTTATTACCTGGATGTGAATGTCTAACCTTCAATACCACATCAGTTTTACTTAGCAGATAGAAGAGGATGTGCCTTTTTTTAAACCACAGTGTAGTTCCTACTTCCTGGATTATGGAATAGCCCAAGCTTAAAAACCAACATAGTTGCCTTGAATAGTTCCATTATAGAGGCTTAACCTTTTTTGAAGATGCAGGACTGACAGACTAAAAGGCTTAACTCCTCCTCGACAGTTATATAAGACATATATTATATATATGTCTTCTCCATATGTGGTATATTTAAGTAGAGCACCTACTTAGCACACAGAGGACAGTTTTATAATCCTCCCTTTTAACCTATAAACGTTAGAGCTCTTTGCTCTGTTAGGGATGGTTAACATGGTAACAGCTTAAACACCACCAAATATTGACTCATCTAACCTTCATAGCAAGCTTATAGGATGGGGTTACATGAATTATGTGCTTTTTTCTGGTTTGATGTCGTGATTGTATCCAAGATATAATCATCCCCAACCCACACATACATGTAATAAGCCAACAAAAACCTGGTCACTAACCTTGCCCAGGAAGCTAGGCTTATCCCACAATTATATAATGTCTTGACATCCCAATATGTAGTGAGTGGTGGTCTGAATACCCATTGAAGTACTATACTAGAGATATTTCGTGACCCCCTTTTTAAAAGTGGAAATCCTGAATGAAAGGTTTACTGCTGACCAACACAAATTATGTATGAAAATAATTGTACCAAGTCGTTTGTATTTTTTTGGTCTACACAGCATTGTAGAACTATGTTGAGTATAGTTTAGTCATCAAAGAAAAATCAGTTTGGTGTTGCTATGAAGAGAAGGGCAGTTTTTTTAGGCTGTAAATGATACTCAAACACTTGTTTTTATATTTTTCAGGCACCATCGGCTTTTTCTCCTGTTTCTGGTTTGTCTCTAAGATCTACAGTGTGGTCAAAGTGGATTAATCAACAACAGCACCAATCACAACTGGGATAACACTTCAAAATAGACTGTCAGACAGAAGGAGGGTTTCCATTGGCTCTTGCTTAGCTCTGTGCAAACAGGTGAATATCGATTCTACTCCATCAACCAATCACGGCACCTGTATCATGTTAAGTGTAGGATGGTGAGATTAAAAGTGGTGTGTGATTGGTTGATGGTGGTCTGTAATATATTATTGTACTTGATAAGCTCCTTTAAGGTTCAACTTGTGGCTTGTATATAGTGAATGCAAAAAAGATGCAGCTTTGAGGGGATAAGGTACACTTGACTACAGTTCACAGCGCTAATAGTGCTAATCACAGTAGAAACTTTTCATTTTAAGTTGGGTCTGTCTTCTGGCTAGTAGCTAAAAACGTCCAGGCTATCTTCTGGTGTTAAGAATAAGTGTAAGGTTTGTAACACTTCATATAAATGCATCACAATGTATTATTAGAAACTTACTTCTTGCCATGTTTGGTATCATTGTGCCCAGGGCGTTTCAGTTTGCTTATGAAGGTGTAGTTCCATTTTAGATAATCAGTACACGGTAGTCCAGTTGAGTATGGCAGAGAGGTTCAACAGCCTATGGACATCATTGATAGACCACAGGTTTACTAGACTACTAAGTGTAAATAAATTATGGAGAAGATGGGTGAAATAAAAAGTGTTTGTTGATCTGGTGGTATTGTAGCTTTGATTATGAATAAGTACTTGTAACATATCATGCAAGTACACAAAAACATCTCATTTGAAAAAAAATTGCATCTTGCAAAAATATTTGAAACACATTTAATAGTCCAGACACATAACTTCAGAAAAAGCAAAGAATTTGAAATAGTATATATGATTGCAATCATGGATTGTACAACATTCAAGTTTTTTTAATACACTTTTGACCCCAACATGTAGCCCGACACATTCAGTACCTGAAAAAAGTACAAATTTGTATCGATGGATTTGAAATCTTGTATCAGAAATGACATGATATTTTAGTGCACTATGGATATATTACAGGCATTTGTATATTGACAACCATGCCTTGTTGCAAGATACATGTATGCTAAGTCAGCAGTATTTGTTTCTATAAACTGCATTGTAAGACAACTACACCAAAATTTACTTTGTAAGCAATAAAAGGTTCCATTTATGGTGTTAGGAAATAAGGGAGAAATTATGTAAAATTTTTGTGTTTCAATTTGTATTAAGTAGAAACCAGAGGAAGGTCTTAGGGTCATAGTACCTTTTTGGATAAGCAATACAATGATTATACGTTTGTGGATACACAAATTCAATCATGAGTGTGCATGGAGAGAAGTGGTTGAAAGCTGAATATGAAAAACATAAAGACTCTCATTGGTATAACACAACACTGGCAATGTTGAATGGTTTTCAAGAAGGTTTGAGCAGTAGAGAATGTAAATGTCTTCGTTGATATGCTCAGAGCATGTCAAAGTGCTAAAAAGGCAAAATTTGCAAAAGTTGTCAGTGCTTGAAAAGCTGGAGGTTACATTCATATGTACATTGAGCTACTTCATAAATCTATGTTTGAAGGCAGTGTTGTTGTTTTTTACTGTTATGCATTGCCCTGACAAGTCCTTGAAAGTAATGAAAAGAAGTGTAAGAAATGATCACTTCAAAAAGACTGAAAGGGTCACAAGAGAGATACTGCAATGCTTTTGACCACTTCTGACCATGCCCTTTCATGGAGATTCCTAGAGCATAGTACACGTCATGATATGTACAGAGTTTCTATTGTTACCATATATTATGGTGTATAGATGGTTGTAAGAATGCTTAGAAGATGTCGACAGTATCAGTAATGTTTGAGTTTCTTTTGCCTTATGCTGGCTAAATCTAAGTTTTGTTTTTGATTTACTATTTGCCTGTTAGATTTCACATCTGTAAGGCCGAACAGGTCTGACCTTTTCATAGTTGAATCAGGTTTAGCTCAATCTTGATATGTTCACTACAGCAGCATTTCCATTTGTTACTTTGTATATCCATTGTGCAGCTTTTTCACCTGTGCAACTTTTGAAGAACTCATTCTTACACCCCGTGACCTTTCACACTAAAACAACTGTACAATAGAAGACTGTAGAAATGGAACAATTCACACGACTGCACTATATATAGTTCCCGTGTACTTTTCTATTGACCATCTCGGGAATTTTTTGACGCCATTTCGTACATATAGAATACAACACGATGTATTCTGTATCGCCCGAGGTATCGGCCCGACCGCGATCCCACTCGCGGGAGGGCCGAGACCGAGGGCGATGCGGAATACATTGTGTTGTATTTTATTTATATCATACCCACCCTAGAAAACACGCCTTTCAATGCAAGATGAGCCAAAAGTTGGTGCCACTAAAATGCAACAACATCAATTCCAACGTCCGAATTCTGTATTCGAATTTTCGAAAGGGGCACAAGTGGGTAGGGCGAAACGCGTTCGAATCGTTTTATGGAAGCCATGGAAGCATTCGATAACGGGTTCCGGACCGGGCGTACCGTACCGTAAAGTACGGCCCGGTCTGGAACCCGTTATCAAACGTTACTGCGGCCCGGGTATGATATAAATGTCACTTAACCAAACCCACTACATGGTAGCCTCTTAAATCCCTTATTCTTTCCTCCTGACAATTATAGACAGTAATATTTTGCACTCTTTTCCAATTTTACTAGAGAAGTCTGCATGAGTAATGAAACATCCATTGATAGATTTTTTTTTGCAGACATGTTGAATATTACTAGCTCACATTCCTTTTTTGCTGCTTTATGGAGTTTTTTTTCAATGTTGAACATTCATACTAAGTCTTCACTTTTATTAATTACAATCATGCTAATGTTTGGAATTGTCAACTTTTGTTACTTGTGGCAAAAGCCATTGTTCCCAAATTACATTCATAGCACAATCATAGAATATTCTTGTCATGATAGTAGAATACCTTAGAACCAAGGCAGTTGCCATTTGCAGATTTCACTATTGAATTTTATTTAAGAGAAACATTATGTGTATATGAGGGTGATGGTCTTATTAAAAATGGATGTGGAGGAGTCCCAAGTGTTGTGTTATCTTTCTTTTACAAATGGGTTACAAATTATCTGAATGGTTTAATGATACAAATTACTTGCTGCAGAAAAACTGAATTGTTGAAATCCTCCTGTGTTTCAATATCATTGATGACAAGCAAGTGCAATAAAACAATTGCTCATCAGTGAAAATCCCAGAATTAAAGATAACCAAAGATAACACCCAACATATTAGATTAGAAATAATTTGGAGTTTCAACACAATGCAATTTGACCAACACGAATCTACCTTGAGTAAAGAGACTCTTTATACACAACCAAGTCTTTAATTCAGCTGGCATTTCAGTGACTGTCACCTTCCTCAGGGCAATTACATATCTACACATATGCATGATTGCAGGGAACTGTATCTACAATGCAGTCCAAAACATACCAGCCAGAATTGCCCTGAGGAAGGTGACAGACGGTTACCGAAATGTCGGCTGAATAAAGGACTATCTTGGTTGTGTAAAAAGAGGCTCTTTACTTAGTGACTTAGCAACCTGATGAAACTATAGTCACGGACATGAATCTCCCTTATACTTGCCCAGCTGTTACCGGCAGTGTAATTATCTTCAGTGAAAGATAAAAGCAAATTATTAGTTCTAATTTCTTGAAAGGGATGGTAAAGCAACATATGTTGCACACTTCTGGTCAGTTTAAAAAAAAAATACTTTAACAATTGGTAATACATGTACATGTATGTGCAATATCATATAATGAATAGCTCTGATGTACAGCTATTTTGCGCAGATTAGATTTTAACAAATTCATCATAATTTTTCCAGATGTAGAACCACCTGTCCATCTTTTTGATGGTCTCCTCTGAAGTGTTCTGCCAAATTGGTTCTTTGCATAAAAGTAAGTAACATCTAAAATGACTTAGGAAGTACTGCAGATCTTCTTTGAAGTCTTAACAAGCAAAGGCTTAAAGTACTTTGCCTTCCTGTCACTGTAAGATGTAGTGGAGTGTTCAAAGTACATTTGAACATCAAACGTGTATCCTACATACAGAAAATCAATACAGTATATCTAATCTGAGCACAGCTTGGGGGTAATTTTAACTCTAAATGAGCTACACGAATCTTTGTTTGAAAGACACCCTCATGCAAGACTTGAAAGAGTAGCGGAAGTGGAGTGTACATGTATGGATGTGTTGAAGGTGTTTGTTGACATATTTGATGATCGAGACGAAAGTATGGAAATTTGCTTCATGTTCTTCCACCAATAGACCGATCCTGAAGCCCCGCCCACCTCCGTCAAAACATACAAATGCAACTATTTGATGGACATGCAGCCAGTCTCTCATTGGTTGAACTGCTAATTGCCATCCTCTCATTGGTTAAACTTGCTAGTTGTGATGGACATTCGGGATCGGTCTATTGCAGATGATTTTGGTACAGTTTCTCACAGTTGCTGGCTGAAAAAGTCGTGACTGCCTATTTCTAATACCTTACAGACCATCCAGTCTCCTTTACAATGACAATGACAATGAATTTTATTGCATGTTCACGCCCTACACGGGCCAAATGCACTTAAGTTAGATAACTTGGTAACAAGAATAGAAGAAGCAATTGTTACATTCGTGTACTATTTCTCTATCTACAGGATCTAACTACAGGAAAGTTGTGTAAATTGCCTTCCCAGGTCTGTAAATTACCTTCCACCCATACAAGATGCTTTCATCAGTTCTCTTTTGAAGTACATGTAAGTCGTGCACACAAACCCGCAAAAGACTCAAGGCTGTGGCATGATTCAATACAGTACTCTGAATAGAAGCAGCACTTCAAAGCAAGATGTGGGACTTTGCATGTTGTATTTTCAGCCTTTAACAACAGCTGTGGATATCTGTAATACAACTAATGGTCAGTTTAAACTCCGAGTTTTGGGATGATCCTCGTCAGTGTTAAGTTAAGACATTTACACAGAGTCCACAATACAAAATAAATCGGTCAACAGGCTTATCATAAATCCTTAAGTGTCAGGTGTTGCCTATAGCGTCCACTAACACTCATCAGTGGCTGATAATGAGTTGTTATTTTGTTATGGCTTCACCACACCACGAAGTGGTGTGGTGAAACCATATTGCTTTTTCTGATGTTTCTTCTCCTTCTCCTTCTTCTTCTCCTGCCATTTTTTAAATGGATTCAGCTTCTTCATTTTGGGGCCTAAGGACCTGAAATTTGGTATGGAGGTACAGTGGGCAAATACCCCCAGGCGTTTTTTAAATTTTGGTGATATAGGCTTTTAGAATGGTTTTATTTGAGCTTTTTGGCTGTGTTATAGCAAATGTATTACTGTGCTGTGTACCACGTTTGGGCATGAGTCATCACAATGGAATGCAGGGCATCAACCAATAGGCATGCAGCTTTCCTCTATTCTTCTTGCTGATTGGCTGTTGGGATTTAACTTGATTAACACTTGCACAGAGCATTTCTTGCTGATTGGCTGTTGGGATTTAACTTGATTAACACCTGCACAGAGCATTTTCATACTGACAGTATGTCTGTATTCAAGTGTTTTGGTAGGTATTTCAAGCTTTCCTGCTCCAGCATTCGAATGCGGGGCATGAACGTTTTATTTTATTTATGTGCAATTTTTGTACCCTACTTACATTATTGCTTTCCTAGAAATTGTTGTACAGAATTGCATGTCTGCTATACAATGGGCCATTCAATGTCTACTGGAGAGAAAAAATTGCTTACTCTGACGTACGTATGTCTTAATTATATCTCTATTGTACATCAGGGTCTGAAATAAGGTCTCCTTTTAAGACCTGGGATTCAGTATTAACAAGAAAATTCCAG